TGAAAATCTCGTTAGAACTCTCTGTCTTGCCGTTAGCCATTTCTATGACGAAGGTTTCTTTTAGTGTTTGCGGTGATTGTTTAAGTAAGTGTTTAAATTTTTGGTTTACGAAGCTCCTTTCTGCCCCACTATCGAATAGGATACAAGCATAAGAGTTATCGAGAAGGAACGTACCCGTGACTACTGTGGGGTCTGCCACGGCTTCATTGTGGCCAATAGCAAGTAGTCTTCCTGTTCCTCCCGCATTCCCAGCTTTAGGGCAGTTTCTTTTGAAGTGCCCTGTCTCGCCGCACCCGTAGCAGGCCTGACTCACTCCTGCACCGGGAACCTGGGTGATGGGTTTGGGTTGCGTTCTGCAAAACCGGGCGGTATGGCCCTTCCGGTCGCAATTAGTGCACTGCATTTCACGGCAGGGGCCGTTATGATGGAAGGAGCACTTGGGGTAGGTTCCCTGCATATGGTTTGGTTGGTACATGGGCAGCAGGAGTAGTGGCAGCATGGACAGCCACCGTTTGTTGGTTCTTGGAAGAGGGTTGAGCTGATTTGCCCTTCTTTCGGTCCCAACGCTTCCTCTTGTTGTCAACTGTTTTGGTTGGTGCAGAGGCAGTCGTTGTGGTTGTTGTTGGAGTAGAAGGAACCTCATGATCGATGAGCCTTTGGGCCAATTCCTTGGCACTATCAAAGGTCGCAGGGTGTGATGCTAGAACATTCCCTCGATATGGGGGTACCAGACCCCAGATATATCTTTCGATTTTCTTACTTTCGGTGGGAACCATATTGGGACATAGAGTCACCAGGTCGCAGAACCTGGCTGTATAAGCCATTATGTCGGAACCCTTCATTTTGAGGTTCCACAGTTCCTCCTCGAGCTTTTGAATTTCGCCCCTCGGGCAGTACTCCCTTGTCATAAGGTCCTTCAGTGGATCCCAGCCCATGACGTTAGCTGTTACCAGTGAGAGTGATTTGACATGGCTATTCCACCACGTCAAGGCCCTTTCAGTGAAGGTGCAAGCAGCGAACTTAATCTTGCTTCCTTCGGGGCATGAGCACATCTCGAAGATTGCTTCTGTTCTCTCGATCCATTGGGACAGTGCAATGATCCCTCCAGTTCCATTGAAGTACGTAGGTTTGCAGCTGATGAAATCTTTGTAGGTGCACTCCCGTGCACGTGGATGGATTTCACCATGGATAGAGTTGGTGCCAGTCCCCGTTCCACTAACACCACCAGAGCTTACTTGGGCCATGGCGGCGGTCACAGCTGCGGTCACCGCTGCCTGAAACATCACCGCATCAAACTGCGGAGGAGGTGGTGGTGGTGGAGTTTGATTTTCAGGTCTGCCCCTGGTTGGACGCGGACGAGGCGACATCTTTTACTGGAAGTTGATAGGAATGATAACCATAGTAAGAATCAATTGTAAGTATGATGAGAGTGTTTCATGGACTAATTCGCCATAGTCCAACCATTAGATAGAGGCATAACAATAGAGTAGGGAAACACAAAGGTAAAGACCTTCTCATAGGTTAGATAACTGCCAATATTACTGGTATTAATGATGTGAAATGAGTTCAGGGAAAAATAACCTAACAGTAGGTCTTACATCAAACCATGAGGGAAAATGTTGGCAGTCTAGAAACCTAGTTAGAGTACCTTAAAAGATAGAAATGTTTTACAGTCAAGTGAAACGGAAACACTGAAGATAAAGGCTATTCCTTTAAGAAGAGAAAGGATGAGAAGATAATCCCCTACTGGCGACGGGCACCCCTTGGGTGAACCCTTAAGTCAGCCATGCTATCCACGCGGGAATGAGGAAAGAATAGTTAATAGATGTACTAATCTAAGATAATTATAAGATGATTGTTATTAGTTAATTCCATACTTGCATAGTGCATACCAATTACATGCAACCAAAACAGGATAGACCTTCGAATAAGTGACCCTAACTCTAAATCCACAACCAAACAAGGAACAGGAAATAAAGCAAAGATCACAGATTCTAAGTCTATAGCGCCTTAGTCCCATGTAACCTTAGAGTATCCACCTAGCAACTATTGCCCTACTAGTAATGACCTTTTTAGTTCTCACATAAGTAATTTATAGTAACACAAAATACTCCTATAGTATTTTAGGTTTAAGTTCTGTTCTAGTGTTCTTGTTGTAGTAGTGTTGGTAAGTTTTTAGACTTGTTGCAACACTACAATCATTCTTAGGCACATGCTAGTCACTCCTCGGAAAATATAGTTGATCAGGCTATATCCCCCTAGGTTTGACTATATGTCTCTAAGCCTAATTGTGTTGTTCAACAATCATAATACTTTTGTTCTGTTCTAGTATGATACTGACCCTGGTATGAATAGGTGTATATATATATATACTTAGTTAAATATTTTATTATTATTTAAAAGTATATATTCTTGGTCAGAGTGTTTTAATCCCATTGCGTTTATAGTTTGTATATCTTTTATGGGTTGATATACTCGATTCACTATAAACAATGCTCTGATACCAATCTGTCACACCCCAAAACCGGAACGGCGGAAACGTTCTGGGGTGGAGGACGTCATGTACAGTATCATAACAATGCATAATAGTAAAGACAAGCAACCACATCCATTGCATTAATATAATAATTGTAATACAAGCGTGTTCTGTATAGTTTGTAAGACACCAAAAATGTATAATCAAAATAAAGATGAGTCTTGTATGTGCTCCATCTTCTCAAAAGCTTCATCTGTACCTGTCTACTGATGACCTGAGAATACAAGTTATTTTGAAAGAGTTTATCAGCATAAAGCTGGTGAGTTCATAAGTATTTAGTGTCATTGCTTGTATGAAAATGTTTGTAACAACTTAATGTAGTAACTGATTTCAAATGTTTGTAAATAGTATACTCCCTAGAAAGTCCTATATTTTCCAGTAAAATGTAGTCTTCTACCAAGACCCGATTGTTTGTATGTTTTTTCTTTCGTAATAGTAAAAGTTTTCCCCAGTGAAACTATCAGTATGAAAATATAGTTTTAGACTTCACTCATGAAGGGTGATTACCAAATAAATGTATTAAGGGAAAATAATGTTTTTCCTCAGCAGTGACACTGCTGGTCATAAAGTAATAAAATACGGACTCCAGGTAGTACTAAATGTACAGTACACCTCGGGGAGTCTAAGGTAGTGAAAATGTAGACTCCAGGTGGTATTAAATGAACAATACGCCTCGGAGAGTCTATTTTGCCTTTAATTCTTAATTGGTTAATTAAAGGTTTGAATGTGAACTCGTATGTAACCATGCTAATCGACGGCTGAATAACTGATGACCCTCCAGGTCGTATGTAGTGAGGTAACATTCTGTCACCCCTTGGCCTTATCGGCTGGGACTGTAGCTAGCAGTCGGGATGTGGGAGTGTCTGTCCCGTATAGATCTATACACATAATGCCCGCTCTCCCTCCAGGAGATTCTGGTTACAAAGTGATAGCACAATAAAGTGTCGTATCGAGAAGTAGTATGTCACATTCTGTTTATAGTATTCAAATGTTTATGTAGTATGTCATAGTGTAGTAATGTTTTCTCTGTACTAGTGTATAGTATGTTTTGCATAGCATATAGCGTGTATTGACTCATAACTGTACTGGCTCTTGTATGTGTCGTTGTAATAGTAGTAGTGAGTAGTAAAACCTTAACTATACCTATTATAGTTAAATAGTAATGTTGTAGGTATGCCTTTGCTATACAAAGGTACTGAACTGAAGTGATAGCTTTTATATCCAACACATATATATATATCATATATAACTAAGATTTCAACGACATTCGGACAAATAACAGGATACCCTAAGTCCACAACCAAACAAGGAACAAGAAATAAGGTGAGCTATCAGTCCTAAGTCCTTCAAGTCTTACTTATATAAATATATTAGTGTAGATATGAGTTTGAAAACAATGCAAGTTTAAAAGAGTTTGGAAACAGTTTTAGTATCTAAAAAGTTTAATAAAAGGTTTTGAAGTACTTGAAATCCATAAGTTTGGTAGCAATTTGAAAGTAATAGAAAATCTTTTCTGTTTGTTCTAGTTGTTAATCACATATGACTAAAGCAATAACTAGAATGTTTCAACTTGTATTCCCCCCATAAAAGCATTTAAAATCATTTCAAAGGTTGATTAAGGGGTATGAACTCACCTGTAGTGAGTGGTTTGGATGGAAGTGCCGGATAGGATGCTAAGTGTCAAGTGAAGACTTGAACACACACACGGATCCTATTTAATATGTAAAGATATATACATGTATCTAATTAGTGGTCATAACACCAATTAAGCAAGTATAAACACCCTAAAACATGGAAAACACCTTGGTTCAAGTGCTAGGAGTATTAAGGGGTTGTATCTAAAGAGAGTATAGCCTCACATTGGAGTTTACTGCCCATATGGTAACACCATATGAGTTTACGGTTTATGGTCATTTCCCCCATGAGTTTACGGCCGTAAACTCATGGTAATTAGTACCATTGTGTGTTTTAGGGTCTTACAAGTCAAGGTTAAGCATCCTATGATCAAGTCCAAGCCTTAGGAAGTCATGGTGGCACAATGGCACCACTTTATAGAGTTTACGGCCCATGGACCATTCCCCATGAGTTTACGGCCGTAAACTCTATGTGTTCTTGAAATTTTTGATTTTAAGGTCCTAAACACTTCAAGGAAGTGATCTAGGCTAGTATCCAAGGCTAAGGAAGGGACTAGGGCTCATATGGCCCCCTTATTAGGGTTTACGGTTCATGGACCAACTCCCATGGTGATCTTTATCGATATGATGTTGATAAAGGAGATTGGAAGCTAGTTTCTAGCCCTAATAGCCCCTCTCCGCGCTGTCCATATTCTGGTCATCGAATGGTATGTTCATATCTTTCTGATTTTGCTTATGTCATCCATCCTTTAGGGTTTCCATGTAAACCTTAGACCTCATTTGCAGGTTTCGTTCTCTGATCAAGTTGTTGCTGTTCGGGAAGCTGCTGAATGTGCTGTTTGTGCTATGATGTCTCAACTTACTGCTTAGGGGATGAAGCTTCTTCTTCCTTCACTTGTCAAGGTACCTCTCTTTTTCCTTCTTCCTTCACTTCTCAACACGGCCACAACCCCGAACGTACTCCTTGGATGCCACAACTTGCTCCTGCTTCAGAAGAGTTGATGAAGATATTGTTTAACGTGGAAACATACAAGTTAATATGATTTCTATCTTTATTATTTTAGTCTGTATGCTTAAAAGAGGAATCTTTTTTAATAAATATTGAAATTTGCAGAGCTGCGATGATGGAGTTTGAGATTAACATGGCAAAGATGCCACTTGGGAAGCTTAGCAAAAGTAATATCCAGAAAGGTAAGGAAGATTGCTAATGAATTTCAATATGATGTCATTATAATCTGTGCATTTTTTCTGTATTAGTTTTACAAGAAAAATATGTTTGTTTTTCTTGAAGGTTTTTGAAGTACTGACAGAGCTTTAGAATCTATTGAAAGAGGCAACTGATAATCCTCTAAAATAAAGCTTGATTGTTATTGCCAGCACCCGATTTTTTGCAGTCATTCCTTCTGTTCATCCACATGTAATCAAGGATGAGGATGACTTCAAATTAAAGGTATTGGTGACTATTTGTTTATATTTTTAAGAATTCATTGATCTGTTAGGATCAATATGATGACATTCATTCTTGTTATATTGTCAGGTCAAAATGTTGGAAACACTTCAGGATATTGAAATAGCTTCAAGGCTACTAGGGTTTGATGTGGACAATGATGATTCACTCGATGATAAATATAAAAAGCTTCAATGTGAAATGGTCCCACTTCCTCATGATAGTGAAGATTATCAGTTAGTTGAGAAGTATCTCCAAACTACACATGCCCCTACATATATGGTGTGTCTTTTTTTGACTTGAAGTTTCTTGGGAATTTTGGTCTTTTGACATTATGCTGAAAGGCTGGCCTTGTTTGTACTTTGTAAATTGTAGGATTGGGCACTTGAACTGGAAGAAGTTTTCACAGTTGAAAGACAAGGAGAGTTTGATAAGTTTGTTCCATATAAAAATAAACTCAAGAACAAGATACTCCTTTGGCATGGTATAGTAGCTTCAAACCTTTTCTTTTAAGTTTCATCTATCATGCAAGATGAGAAGGGCATTAAGTGGAGTACCGGATAATCTTAATGCCGAGATAAAAATAAACTCAAGAACACCATCTTTTATTTATGAAATGGAGTGTCAAATTGTGTACAATTCACAAGCTGCTTGGTAGTAAGTGGAGTACCGGATAATCTGAATGACGAGATAAAGAAAGCAAGGTAGTACTTTGTTTCACATCACATTGGTTTGTCATTAAAATTACAATTATACCCTTAATGTGTAGTTTTTTGTCATCACATAGCTTTGTCAGGATAATTATACTCTTCATGGTGACTGTAAAAGTCAAAGGATGAAGTACAGTCCATGAAACATCTGGTTTGCAAGATTATGTGCATATTTTGGAGTAAGGAAAAAGCATTTATAACAGAACTTTGATCCCGATGATGATCGGATTACTGTTTGAGCTTCTGGTGATTGTACCAATGCGGGTACTGGTAGACGAAAGCTCGGTTTTCTTATTATACCAAGGTTAGGCTTTTGGGCTTATCTTCCTTAAAATCTGGACACAGTTGGTGATGCTGGACTAGATGGTGCCACTGGTGGATGACAGCTGGCAGGTGAAATTTGAGAGGGTGGGAGAAAACGGTTCTCTCGGCTGTAGGGAGTTGGATGCCGCCGAAGATTGTGATCTCGATTGTGATGAAGCTGCTAACAGCTCTGTGTTTCCCTTACGTGTTGGCATGAGGGGTATTTCCGGTATTTGGGTACTCTTTGACCTAGCAGTTTATTCTTCTAGGTTGGGGTAGCTGAGCTTAAAGTTGCAGTTGAAAAAACTGGAGAACTTGTCGTGTTAGCTAAAAGCTTTGATCATTCAGTTTTTAAAGATTATTTATTGCGTGTTTTCCAATCGGGTGACACTGAAAGTAAGGTTTGATTTAATCTCTTCAATCCTTAACACATTGATATGTCATATGTTAATGTTGACTCAATCAGTTCTTGTTTTTGTTGTAAACTGTAAATTGTAATGAACTTTTCACTTTCTACAATGGTATATTTGAAGTAAACTTTTCAAAGGAAATCAAAATTCTGGGTATTCTTGGTGCATGTGCATCACTTGAGAAGGTTCATATAGTATTTTAAAGAACATTGACTCTTTGTTGACTGATTTTTGTTTTTTATGCAGAAAGGTGCTTTATGTTCTGATACTAGTATTGATCAAAGGGGATCACAGGTCCAGGAAATATACATATCCTATAAGTTACTTTAATTTTTAATTTATCAACATATATGAACTTTCTTCTTTAGTACTATGTTTGTACTATTGCATATGATTTCAATTTTGCACTTTCTCTGTATTGTGTTTCTGTAGTAGTTTTTCACATCATTTCTTCCCAACTTCAATTGTAACCATTTTTATAGTGCTTCAAATGTTGATATATTAATTATTAATTATTGATTAACCGAAATTCATACTTGGTTTTTGCATTTTCTAGGATTTGGTTGTTGGGTTTGACCAAGAAGCAGTTGCATGCAGTAGTCATGGGACGCCTAGTTTCTTTTAAAATGGAAACAGAGGTGACAGGTTAAATCTATCTTTTTTTCTCTATAAGTATGGAATCTTAAAGCTTTGATTTTTTTTCTATGAAAAGTTTCCATTTCTTATTTGATGGTTGTTATTATTGCTCACTGTAATGTAATCCTAGTGCTTCTATGTCAGGTAACATACAATGTATGGTTTATTTATTTTTCAATAGGCATGATAAAAACTTACCTTTAGAGCATTAACAACAACAAACATATTAGCACCACCTTACTTCATTTGTTGTATTTCAGATTTTAAGGCTTATGTATGCAAACTCGGGGACCTCAATACACACTTGCTTACAACAATCTACACAAACTAAGGAAATATGAAAAGACACAACAGAAATAGGAAACGTTTCAGAGCTTCTTCAGAGAACTTAATGACGAGTTACTGAAACAAGAAGGTACCCCTTTATAGCAATGTAGTATTAGGTTATATAGTTAGGAAAAACCTCTTAATAACGATGTATAATCAGATCCCATTAATATCAATGTATTACAATTTTTTGACATGATGTCATTGAATGAAATTGATTGTTTTGGTATATATTTGTTTCTATATTTTTGTATTATGCGTAAAAGAGTATCGTAAAGGCACGTGATATATGCATATTGTAAATGGTTGCTGAAGTTTATGACACACAAATGCGTGTAATCTTCATTTTTGATAGGGGCTTTATTGATACGCAATGCATGTCGTCTTCCTTTATGGCAGGGCCTTCCTTGATACACATTGCGTGTCGTAAATGAGTGTCGTAATTACGCGTCGTAAATAGACGACGTGCAAAAGCGTATCGTCTTTCATTATGAAAGGGCCTTCCTTGACATAAATTTGTTTGTCGTCTGAGCATTTTACGACACGCATTGCGCATCGTAAAAGGCTGTTTTTCTAGTAGTACAATTATAGTTATGAGCTTAGACACCTAATCCAACAGTCTCCAACTTGGATAAGTCTAATAACTATAACTGCCAATGTAACTTCAAAATCCGATTAGCAATCATAGCTCTCAAAAGCCGCTGTCGAACTCTAATCAAATCAATGACGCGCCCTTTAGATAAGGGATCATACAGTCCTCTGTTCTTCAAGATATCGTGTGGACAAATACATGGAACATAGTCATACTTATTTTCCAACAGTTTATTTCCCGATTTCCGATTTGTTTGACATAGAACTTAATTGAACACATCAATTGAGTACTGACCGGGCCCGAGACATAAGTCAACACAAAATCATCTGGCAAGTAGCAACATATATTCAACTCTAAACCTTACCCATTACAAATCAATAAAGAATAAACTCTAATCTTGGTGACTAGCGACGCTTTCCTATTCCCCATGATCAAGTTCAACTTCCCGTGCTCCACTTCCCAACTTCTTCTTAGACCCTGCAAAATCAGAACAAATGTGAAAACCACATCCCGTATCAAGGACCCAAGAACTAGCATGTGACGAGTTATTAGATTGAATTGTATAAATACCTGCAAAGGTGGGTTTTATCTTCCCATCCTTAATGTCCTCCAAGTATCTAGGGCAGCTTCGTTTCCAATGCCCCTTTTCATGACAATAGAAGCACTTTGCTTCCTTTGGATTGGATGAGGGAGCAGCAGAACCACCTTTGGATCCACTAAAAGAGGATCCATCATGAGACTTTCCCTTGTGATTCTTTGAAGGAGCTTTCCTTTTCTTCCCTTTCCCATGTCCAATTGCCAGGACTGGGGCAACAGACTTGCCTTTTAAACTACTCTCAACAGTTCTCAGAAGGCCTTGAAGTTTGCTTAGAGTGACTTCCTCCTTGTTCATATGATAATTCATATGGAACTGATCATAACAAGGATGCAAAGAGTGTAGGATAATGTTAATAGCCAACTCTTCATCAAAGTTGACATTCAACTTCAGCAAGCGGTCCACATATCTCTGCATCTTTTGCAAGTGGGCCGTGATGGACTCTCCATCCTTCATTTTTGTTGTTATCATGGATGCAATGATCTTATACCTTTCTTTTCGAGCACTTTGATGGTACCTTTCCATCAAGTCTTGGTGCATCTCGAAAGGCCAGAAGTCCTCGTTGGACTTCTGAAGCTCAGAAGTCATAGTGGCTAGCATGATGCACGACACCTTTATCGCGTCCTTCTCATGAGCCCTATACTCAGTCAGTTGCTCAGGAGTAGCAGTTTCTTCATCAATCTCCTTTAGCTCTTTATCGAGGACATATTCCTTTTCCTCGTATCGAATGACCATGCGAATGTTTCCAATCAGTCATTGAAATTCGACCCATCAAAAATGACCCTCCCACGTAAGTTCATGGGGGAGAAAGAGCCAGAAGCATTTGAGTTTGCATCATTGTTTGAAGCAGACATCTAAAAAGAAGAACAAGTTTTATTAGATAAAAATTTCTTAATATAACACCCAAATGAAATATTAAGGCTAGGACCCAAACACAATATTTCACAATTCGGAAGAGGGATGCCGTAATCCAATTGCAAAATATTTGAAGGTAGGTAAATGACGATTTACCAATTTCACCATGAAAAATGAAAATGGAGATTAAGTTTTAAATTAATTGAAATTCCTAGATTCTTTGAGATTCATTGAACTTTTCAATGGCATGTTTAAATCTCGATTATGCCCTTCAAGTTTGTGACTGGGATACCAAGGATCACAAACAAGGTGTGAATAACCATGCAAATTAGCTTGGTACTCTCAAGTCATTTACCACCTAATCAATGTGCCGGTTAACCACACACGCTCCATTGATATATGATAATTTTTAAGCTACCCTTCGCTACCCTTGTTAGTCCAAGTTAGTGTGCTGGTTTACCACAGACACTCCACTAACGACTTGGCAATGTGCAAAGTGCAATTTCATGGAATAACACCATTTCACAGTTTTCCTAAAGTAACTAATATTGGGAATTTAGAAAAACATTTAGTTACTTTGATAATTATCATTATAACTTTTAATGAGAATTAATGTCCTATCCTTACCGTTCGGCTAACGACCCTCCTCCAATCAAGGAAGTGGTGGGTGAGAGTGGACACCCATTCAACCGCCATTTTATAGGCGATTTCCTTATACCCCCTTATAGATCGACTTCGTGAATGAGGCCTACTAACGGTAAGACTGACTGTCTTATACATATATATATATATATATATATATATATATATATATATATATATATATATAAGTATTAATCTTTAATATTATAATAGTATAAGGGTTGAGTTTTAGACTTTTAAAATCCTAGAGTTTAGAATTTAATGTTTCATAATTAAGACTTTTAAAATTCCAAAACTTGAGAACAAGTTTTGAAACCTTTCAAAACTCTCTTGAATCAATTTGATAACTATTAAATTAATCATATAATTAACTATATCACAAAATTGACCTATTCTAATTTCATATAGCAAGATGATTCAAATCAAATTCTACAAATAATTAGTTTTTCACAAAATCAAGTAATTATATTAAAATTTGACAATCATCATTCAATTGGATGAGGACAATCATTACCTTATCAGAAAAATCAAATTTTATCAATCAAAACAGTTTGTGGTAATGATCCCAATCCAAAACTGGCCAAAAACTCGAAAAAACTGCAAACATATGATCCAACTCGTCGAGCCAGGCAATGGACTCGTCGAGTTGGCTCAAATCGGAATCATCTCAGTTCCTTCATGGGACTCAACGAGTCCAGCAGTCAGTGGCCAAAAATGAAAATTTTCTAGCTTTGAAAATAACACAATTGCATCAATATAACAGAAAACACCCTAAGCTCTGATACTACTGATGGGTTTTGAGCACTATAACATCCCTATGGTGCACATACAACCCTAATGCTTTGGATCTAAGTTTTCTCAAGTTATGCATGCAATTTCATTTTTCCAAAGCATATACCCTAGTTAGCATGCAATTAGAGATATACAACATAAAAACTAGTTAGATGAATACCTCTTTGTTGTAGCTTGTAATCCTTGGCCTTTCAAAAGCTTAGTACCTCAAGTGTGATACCTCAAATGAGTAACAAACACCAAAATCAGGAGGAGGCTTATGAGAGAGAGGTTAGGAAGCACCAAAAATCAGCTAGGGTTTCACTATGGAATAGAGTGGCCGATTTTAGGAAGCTAGGGGTTACTTTTATAGTGTGGCATTCCTAGGGTTTCTTACATGTAAACCCTAATTCACCATGACTCTTCATATTTCATACGCCCTTTGGATTAA